AAAACGACAGTCACACGATATCGAAGTCACTTGGTGTATTCGAGAACGCAAGTTTTTACATGAGACATACCGCGTGTAGACGAAGAAGGGAGAAGAAATGATTTTAGAAGTAATTTTATACTTACATATCATTCGCTTAAGTATCTATCTCTGATAGTCAACGATCTTACCGTTACGATAAGAAAGCCCAACGAACAAATCATTATCATGTTCGACCCGAACTGTAGGAACGCGACGTGCGTGTAGAGGCTCTCGATACTTTCCGAAAAGTAGATGATTTTCTGATGCTTCTTTATGATCTGGTTCAGCGTAATGTTGATCGATTTGTGCTTGTTCTCATTTGCGTGAGGCACAAGTTGTGTGAACCAGTTACGTAGAATGTCTATCTGGCCGGCGGCGTGTAACGTCTAAAATTGAAAATTTCCCATATGAAATTGATTGGACTTCACGATTGACTCACGTTTATGTGACTGATATAATATGCAAAATGTTGGATGTCGCAGTATCAACAATGTATACTTGTTGAGATTGTGAATTTCATAACATCGATATTGTTTGGATAAAAAGAAAGGTTTTGCAATACACACGTAATTGTTACATACTCCGACAAATCTATTAACATGTTGACTGCCAAGGTAATCACAGGTAACAGGCAACTTACTTTTTCAGTGGTATCATTGTGGTCACGTGTAATTGATAGATAATTGTGTGTCACCTGTGTAATATACAATTTTATTGTAATATAGACGATATATACCAAACTTGCTGGCAATCAACATGTTAATTCTAATTTTCACGTTAATTATAGGTGGTTCTGATGACGAGCTTGTCTAATGTGTATTTGACTCACCAGACACAATAGCAATGCGTTCGTCACGCCGGTTGCCCATCCGCACATGATCATGTACAAGAATTCGATGATTAATATAGCTTTGTATGTGACTTGCGTGTTAACGTCGAAGGGGATGTCTATCTTGTTGACATAGGGTATCTCCGTCGTATGGTTTGTGACTTCGACGTCGCCCAGGAGAGATTTGGTGCAATACGCGAAGATCGTCATCGTGTGAAGTGCGATTATCGAGTTCGTGAGACGATCCGATGTTTTCGCCTTGTGTCCCGCCTCGCGTAATTCCATATCGCACTTGGCGCACTTGTCCCAATCGTCCGACATCAACGACAAGACTTCGACGAAGTTTCTGTGGACGAGCGTGCCCGTCGATCATGCGATCGCGAAACCCTAATTTTCGCGCTTCGGGAATTACTCGTGTTTTCCACGCAAACGACAGCCCCAAGTAATTGACAACTATAAAGCTTGGAGCTCTACGTATTTTGTGCCCCAGATGGAAGCTCATGTCGTTATCAGCGGAAACTCATGCCGCAATACGAGCAACCAGATATCATGCATGCCTTAACATTAACATCACAAAGTTACAATTTATTATAACTATCTTATAATTCGGTCGCACCATTTTTAACTGCACACGTTAATGCGCAAGGCCGACGATCGTCGGAAGTTCTAATGAGTTGTACTTATGTCGTCCTGTGCTCGAGGAGACTTGTTCCAGAATACTGAATAAATTATGCTTTAATAATAACGACAATATGTAAGCGCTAAGGCATATATGACTTCTGGCGCACAACGTTGTACTTACTGTTGATTCAGCCAAAATATGCTAAACTTTATTAACACTTTGGTATACGCCAAAAAGCTGCACAAACAGTCCATCAGATCGAGAAGCTCAGCGGTATATATGTGAGTCACCAAATAATGGTAATGACAGTATCCGACGAACACTAATGAGACGACCCAAAATACCCTGCAGAGCAGAACGGCTGGCATGCCTGGCCAAATACCGAACAGAATAAACAAAAATTTCAACGTGTGATTAATCGTGTTCTTCCGGATCATAATGCTCGCCTCTCGACTGTTCGTCTAACCGAACGAGTGAACAGGTGCACGATACGAACGACAAACGGTCTCGGAGAAACGAAGAGACGAGGAGATATCTCCGTCGCGAATCTGAATACCAATGTAAATTAGCTTTTGAAGTGAATCATAAAGCACTCGCGTGAAGACTGCGAGCGGCGCTGAAAAGTCATCATCGTAGTCGAGTTTGCGTCGACCGTGCCGACCAATAGGAGCCACTCATTAAATATTTTTCTCGTGATGTGCACAGACTGCGGATATATTCGCTGTGCAGTGAGTTCTAGCAATTTTAATGAAAATTACGGGGGACAGGTGGGTTTGTCTATCCCTTCCGTCGGCAAGAAGGGCTTGGCGGCCAGTGCGTTTGCGAATCGTTCGCTTGAAATATACATCGATGCGTGCGACAACGCGCGGACACCGTCTGCCTGATCGCAAGTCGCGTTCGTCGAGCTCTGGCGACCTTATGAAATATAAAGGGTGTAACACACGAGGGATGAGAAATGACAGGGAAGGGAGCCGCGCGCTATTACGACACTACGCGTCCCCCTCTGTATGTGCGCGACTCTTGCTCCGCTCGAACTACATATGAGGGAAGATCCGCGAGTTTCCTTTTCTCTTTTTTCTTTTGTTCTGCAATTCATGGAAAGTCAGGATACGATATCGTGCTCGTATTAATTCTCGAGCAAACGCTCGGGCAGTTTCGTAGCAGTTTGCAACGTTATTCTGGACATTATTCCGTGAGTCATTATTGTATATATTCAAACTGTGTATATTTTAACAAAAATAACTACTATATATGTGTGTGTGTCTAAACAACTAATAAAGATATATTCGCATGTATAGTCGATACATGTTTCGTAACTACCGATCTATAGTCATGGTTGGGACGCGATATTCATTGCATCGCCAACGTCATTAACAGATACGCCACTGATGAGTTCAGGATCTATAAGAACTGTCGTTCTGTACCGCTTATACGACTGAACTGTCGTTCTTATAGATCCTGTTGTGAGTGTGAATTAAGGTATTCTGCGAATAAACATAGAGCGGCATTTTATCTAATTGATTTTATCACGCGACATACATAATAAGAAGTCATTTATCGCGAGTGTGTTCTATTAAAAGTTATTTATTGCGTGTAGTTCTATTAAAAGAATTGCTTTACATTTATTATATTGTTTTACGTGAACCTGACACTTGCAGGACACTTGAAGGACTCTGAAGTATGGTTCATCATCATCGCGTTGTATCTGAATTTATGGTGACTTTACCGTCTCTAACATGCATCGAGATCACATTCATGTGATTCTTCGTGTTAGTCAGAACGGGATGCGTTTCAATGTGTTCCAGTAAGAACGATATTCGGACGATTGTGTCGTACATTGTCTGTATTTTTGAAAAATATGCTATTTGCTATAAAATGTGCGATTTTATAACTAGTGATTTACTAGTAACTTAATGTTCCATTACACTATAGTTAATAAAAATAGATGGCTACTCCAGTCTGACCTTTCATTGCATCGCCAACAGTACGGACAAATACGATCCAGAAGCATTCATGATCTAAGAGACATATTCTCTGTTAAATTATTGACAAGAAAATTCCTAATAATTTTTAATAATATCATAAAAAAGCGTACTTTCTGCTGTGTAAATTTTTTTTGCACTGCTATTAGATATGACTGAGAAAGATTCATGAAAATAAATGATTATTGAACTAGGAAGAACCAGAAAGTATATAGAATCAGCTTGAAGCGTTATGCGCGCGTAAAGTTATGCATTACGAACTGTGCATATAAATCTTACACTCGCGAAGGATTCTAAGGAGAGATCCATCATCTTCCCAGCTGTGAGTATCAGTTGCTTCTGCGATCGTAATATAACAAACAACAGAACACGGGCATTTCTGGGCTTTAAATTGTACCACTCGCTGTTATATGCCGCAAGGCTGATCAATTTGCTCTACGAAGATGGAAACAACGCTGTACTTTGTAACGTTTAAAACATCGAATATTATTGTTTGCTTATCATTGTTACTATTATTCTCCCACTACTGACCTTGTTGCTCAGATATTCTCCGGCGAAACAAAATATAAATGCTTCGAGATTTGTTATAGTGTAGAACAAAAGAGATCTTATTATCTGTTTTACCGCATCAGGGCTGCCAACCGCCTGAAATTAGTCGTAAAAACAACGAGTGAAGTCATTGAAACGTGCAAATTATATACTATGTGAGATACACAATTATATACTATATGAGATATACATATGATATATGATAAAAGGCGAAGCAATGACGAGGAAAGAGAAGTAATAATATAATGACCAAATATGTATCTTAGGCTCTACATTAAGTAACACTTAAATTTAATAAAGTAATAAGGTTATTAAGAACCAAATGCTAAATATTAATGCACATATATATATATATATATATATATATATAGTCTCTCTCTTATACACATATATATGTGTATAAGAGAGAGACTATATATATATATATATATATATATATATAGTCTCTCTCTTATACACATATATATGTGTATAAGAGAGAGACTATATATATATATATATATATATATATATGGTAGAGTGGATAATATAATGAAATTTTCATAAACATATACATTTATGTACTTAGAAATACATTAAAATTTTGTAAAATTGTATTGTAAAATTGTATTGTACATAGGCATGTACATAGATATATATAGCAATTTTGTACTGTCTTTCGCTTACATATCTATCCATGTTATTCAACAGTCTTACCTTTACGATAAGAAAGCCCAACGAACAAATCATTATCATATTTGACGCGAATTGCAGGAACGCGATTTGCGTGTAAAGATTTTCAACGTTTTTCGAAAAGATGATGATTCTCTGATGCTTCTGTATGACCTGGTTCAGTACGACGTCGATCGATTGATCTTTGTTCTCATTTGCGCGAGGTACAATTTGCGTGAGACATTTGCGTAGAATGTCTATCTGACCGGCGGCGTGTAATGTCTGAAATTGAAAATTTCTTTACACGAAATTGACTAGACTTTATGTGTGTCTCTCGTTCATGTGGATAATATAATATGCAAAATGTTAGGAATTGTGATATCAGCAATATGTGTGGAGGCTGCAATTTTAACTTGGTTTAGAAAAAGAAGGTTTTGCAGTATACACGTAGTCGTTACACACTCAGAAAACTTTGTTAACACATTCACTGCCAAATTAATTAAATAACTAGAAGTTTAATTTGTTCAGTGACATTATTACTGTCAAGTGTGACTCACACATAATTATGTCACTTTTATAGTATACAATATTATTGTAATATAGGTGGCACATACCAAACTTGCTGGCATCAACATGTAAATTCTAATTTCGACATTAATTATAAATAGTTCTGATGACGTGAGCTCGCCTAATGTGTATTCGACTCACCAGGCACATTAACAATGCGTTTGTCACGCCGGCTGCCCAGGCGCACATAATTACGAACAAGAATTCGGCGATTAATATGGATCTGTATGTGAGTTGCGTGTTAACCTCGAAGGGGATGTCTACCTTCTCGACGTAGGGCAGCTCCGACGTGTGGTTCGTGACGTCGATGTCGTTTATGATGATGCCGAAGGAATACCCAATAATCGTTATCGTGTGAAGCACGAAAACCGAGTTCATAACACGATCCGATAATTTCGCTTTGTGCTGCGTCTCGCGTAATGCGACATCGCTCTTGGCGCTCTCGTCCCAATCGTCGGACATCATCGACATGATTTCGATGAATTTTCTGTGGACGACCGTGCTGGTCGATCATACGATCGCACATGATCGCGGGATTACACTAATTTTCGCGCTGTGGGAATCACTTGTATCTTCCATGCAAACGACAGCCGGAAAAAAATGATAATTACAAAAGTCGTTCTTGTATTTTTGTATCCATCCCAGGTAAAGGATTTGGAGTATTGTCGTTTCTAACGGAAACTCATGCCTCGATACGAATAACCGGGTACCATGTACGCCTTATAACATTAATACTAAAGTTATAATTTATTATATTTATCTTATAATATTAAGGTCACTCGCACGGACTTTCTGTTCTATATAATGCGTAAGATTGACAATCGTAGGTAATTCTGATCACTTGTACTTACGTCGTTCTACGTTTGAGGGGATTTGTGCCAGAATACTGAATGAATTATACTTTTAATAACAATAATATGTAAGCGCTAAGACATATATGATGTCTGGTGCATGCTGCACTTACCGTTGTTTCAACCAAAACACGATAAACTTAGTTAACACTTTGCCATACGCCAGAAAGCTGCACAAGCCGTCCACCAGATCGAGAAGCTCGGCGGTGTATACATGTGCCAGAAGATAGCGGAAAATACTATACTCGATAAATAATATTGTGACGACCCAAAATACCCTGCAGATCAGAACGCATGGGATGCCCGGCCAAATACCATACAGAATGAACAGATATTTCAACGTGCGATTAAGCGTGTTCCTCCGCATCATGACGCTCGCCTCTCGTGCCGTTTGTCTAACCGAGCGAGTGCATCGAACAAGCACACGCGACCGACAAACACTGTCGGAGAAACAGAGAGACGTCGAGGTATCTCTGCTGCGAGTTTGAATCCCAATGTGAATTGGCTTTTGAAGTGAATCGTAGAGCATTCGCGTGAAGACTGCGGGCGATGCTGACAAATCATCATCGTTGTCGACTTTATAGCGACTTTGTGTCGACCAATGGGAGCCGGTCATTAAATATTTTTATTGTAATGCATGTAAGGCCGCGGATACGTTCACCGTACAGAGAGAGTTTCGACAATTGTAATGAAAAGCAGAGAAAACAGGTGGATTTGTCTATATCTTCCACCCACAGGAGACGGCTGAAAGACAGCGTGGTCACGAGTTGTTCACTTAAAATATGCAACGATACGATGCGAGAACGGGCGGACACCGTACGTCCGATCGTGGGTCGTGTTCGTTGAGCTTTGGCGACCTTTTGAAATATGGAGGGTGTAACATGCGGAGGGAGAAATAACAAAGAAGTGCTGGGCGATATTGCAAAATTACGTGCCCCTCTTTACGTGTGTGCGTGACTTTCGCTCCGCTCAAACTGCGACCGAGGGAAGATCCGCGAATTTCCTTTCTTTGTATTTCATGGAAAATCGAGATGCAATATCGTGCTCGTTTTATTTCTCAAGTTAACGTTCTGGACAATTCTGTGGCAGATTGCAACGATGTTCTGGAAATATTACGTGAATCACTTTTGCTTCACTAAATATATTTGAGCAAAGATAACAACTATCACAGTGTGTTTGTGTGATGTGTGTGTATTTATAATTAGTGAAAATATATTTATATATCTGCTTGCGCGTGGTATATGTTTCACGGCTACCGCTCGAGAATCGCCGGGACAATCATGTCATTCATTGCGCCGTCAACAGCACTAACAGATACAATCCCGATGCATTTATGATGTATAGGAACGAGTTAACATCTTCTTCTCGCAATATTTCCTCACTTACAGTTGATTTATCCATAACATGATAAATTTTTATAATCATTCTCACGTGTGTCAAGAAGCACAAGCAATCCACCAGATCGTAAAATCTCTCAGATGTGACATAAAGTAAAAATATACATTAACGATAAAGTAACGATAATGGCAGAAAATAAGGAATGTAACGATCTAAAACACTCTGGAAATTATAACGCATGATATGCGTGTCTAGATGCCGAACACGGAAAGTGTGATTGCGCGGCTGCATGCTCTTACGAGTCATGATTTTGTTTTTTGGAGTCATGAGTCTTGCGTAAAAGTGTGCAGATTAGAAAACTTTTAATGAAATAAGCACTCTCAGGAATAAGTAAGAGTGATTCGCGAATATATTTCTCGACAACAGGGCGATGTTATATCGCCGGATATTCACTCAATGATTGAGGAAGTAACGAGTTATTAGTTGTATTAATATTAGTTGTATTAATTACTAGTTGTAAAACATCACACTAGTTAATAAACACCGTATTTAAATTAAAATACGATAGAAAATATGATACAATAATCCGAGAAAAGTTCTTTCTGAAACATATCGAGACGCATCCTATTCTCCCATGAACAACACAAAGAATCATATGAATATTGCCTCGTAGCGCATTACAGACCGCAAAAGATATAGAATCGTCAATCGTCAAATGACTAATCGTCCAAGAGTGCACGCGACGTATATGTGAGAGGTCATCAAGCAGTGCGTGCACCCTTGGATGATCGGCCAATTGATAATTCTATATCTTTGCGGTCTGTAACGCATTATTAGGCAATATTCATACGATTCTCCGTGTTGTTCATGGGAGAGTAGGATGCGTCTTAATGTGTTTCAAAAAGAACTTTTCTCGGACGATTGTGTCGTATTTTATATGAATTTCGTAAAAATATGCTGTTTACTAACTAATGTGCTGTTTTATAACTAGTGATTTACTAATAACTCGGTGTTCCGTTACTATAGTTCTATAATTACTATAGTTACTATAGTCAAAAGAATCGACCAGCTCAGTGTCACCTTTTATTGCATCGCCAGCAGCACAGACAGGTACGATCCAGAAGCCTTCATGATCTAAAAGAAACATTATCTCTTAAATTAATGGTAAGAACGTTCCTGTAATTTGCAATAATATCATGGAAAAATGGGCCACACGCAGTGAAAATTTTATAAGCGCAGAAATTAGATGTAAATGAATAAGATCTGTGAAAATGAGTAGTTATTGCATAAAGTTTCGTTCAGGAAATCTGTAAAATCGGTTCTAGAAGCGTTAAGCGCGCGCAAAGTTACACGTTACGAGTTGTGCATATAACTCTTACATTTGTGAAAGATTCTAAGGAGAGATCCATCATCTTCCCAACTGTGAGCGTCAGTTGCTTCTGCGATCGCAACATAAGAAACAACAGAACACGGCCGTCTTTGGGGTGTAAATTGTACCAAGCAGTATTGTACGCTCCTATGCCGACCAATGTACTCTACGGAAATGGAAATGATACTGTAGCCTACTGACGTTTAAAACATCGATTACTGTTGTTTGTTCGTCATTGTTACTATTATTTTCCCACCGCTAACCTTATTGCTCAAGTATTCCCCGGCGAAACAAAACAGAAACGCTTCGAGATTTGTTATAGTGTAGAACAAAATAGACCGTAATATCTGCTCTGCTGCGTTGGGGCTGCCAATCGCCTGCAATTAGGCACAAAAACGACATGCAGAGTCATTTGAGGCATTTGAGAAATACGTGCAAGTTTTTACATCAGACGTGACTTGTGTGATAAAAGGCAACTGAACGACGAGTAGAAAGAGAAATAAAGTACAATAAAATTCACGTATTTAAAAATATTTAAAAATTTAATGGTCACACTATGCATATATATGTGTACGGAAATCACAGCGATTTTATACTTACTTTTGCTTACATATCTTTCTTCTATCCGTAATATTTAACGATCTCACCATTACGATATAAAAGCCCGAACAACAAATCATTCTTATGTTTGACTCAAATTGCATAAATACTTGATTGTTCCGTACTCACGGTTATGATCGTAAATCCCAGCAAGCACATTAATATGAGATTCGATGCGAATAAGCACAATGTCATGTACTTGTACAGAATTTCAATGTTTTCTGAAAAGTAGATGATCCTCTGATGTTTTTGAATGATTTTTCTCGCAGACTTGGCAATCGACTCTCGTTCGCTCCCGAGACTCTCAGACGCGAACTCCGACACCCAGTATACCAGAATGTCTATTTGGCCGGTAATGTGTAGGACCTAAGGATATATAAAAAAATCGATTTTAGCTGAATATTTTATTCGTATATGACCTCTTCTTCTATCCTGTCACATTTCATAATTTTATATAATGTTGTAACATTATTTGATAAAAGAATTATAATTTTGACTATCATAGTAATTACACAATATATAACAAAAAGACGAAATAGATGACTGAGATACTTGATTTTATTTCTCCTATTTACAATCATATTTTTTGAGACATGTATTAAAATCTGGTTCTGTCAGACGCGGCCAGAGAGATTTATTGTGAATATCGCAAAACAATATAGATACTTTATGTTCGCTCCAATCCGTCCTACGTTCCTATGAACGTTGCGGAGACACCCTGTATATCCCTAACTATGTGTATGTATTCACGTGCACATACATATATATATATAGATATAGATATAGACATATAGATGTAGATATAGGCAGCGCTACATACACAAACGAAAATTGCATTTATTTATATACTATTATATATTGCTGTTAAACGTCACGGTTGCACTGTTACACAATCAACATGGCGGTTGAAATTTAAATTGTTTATTACGCAGTCGCTACTTACCATAGTCAGCAGTACAGCGTTCGCGAGACCAGCTCCCCAGTTAATTATTATCATGTGCACGTACTCCGCGATTAGCACAAATCTGTACATTAATTGCGTGTTAATCGGGAAGGGGAAATCTAATTTGTTGATGTAAGGAACCTCGATCGTTTCATCGGTGACATCCACATCGGCAATTAACAATCCTGTGCAATACCCGATAATTGTTGCAATGTGAAGGGTGAGTATCGTGTTAGTGATGCGATTGGACGTTTTCGCCTTGCGCCCCATCACGCGCATACTGGCGACGGTATTATTTGCGTGATCGCTCCAATCATCCGCCATGAGTGTCAAAGTTTCCATCAGTTTTCTGTGGATGATTGCGTTTCCTCGATTATGCTCGCCCGCACGTTCAAGGGGAAATCTTACTCCTCGCGTTGCAAGGCGTCGTATCTCTAGATATACGTCACCTAGCACGGAAGGGTTTGGACGTTATTGATTTCTTTTTTATTTGAAGATTTTGTTTCTTATTGCGCGGCTATTTTCTAGAGACAGCTGTGGGAAAGTATCGAGTACATGTGAGAAAATAATTGCGACGGTGGACAGCAACCTATGTAACGAGTGTGACGATTGCAACGATTGCTCTGAATTATTTTTGTAATTAAAACGAATACAAAAACGTTGTAGTGGCTTTTAGTTCCCGACCGAAAACTTTCTTACTTACTGTCTTTGTGACGTATTAATTTAAACTATTATAAATGATTCTACTATAAGTGATTTATTTGATTTCCCGGTTGTTGCTGCGACTTTCGTAAATTGCTTTACAAATTTATGAATTTGTCCGACAGCAACTCGGAAGTTAGATCAAGTTAGATCACGTTAGATTAAGTTCAAACCGCGGAAGCTTAGAATAGCAACTCTACTATAAACTGGAAACAATAGCTATGGCAAGATCATTATATTCAGAATCAGGAACGAATTCATAGCAGATGTATTACTGCACAGAGACCCGTAAACAATTGCAATGCGCACATAGTATGTTCTCATTCTGTTGTAATATATTACACAATTTCTCGCGGCAACTCTCAATAATCACACAACAATATTGCGATCGTTTAAATTAGCCTCGAAAATCATTGTATCACATCACAACACTAAAATTATCGCAATCTCCTCCTCGGAATATCTTTCCACGCACCCCTGATTTATCCAGAACATGATGAACTTCATGATCGATTTCACATATGCTAAGAAGCTACTCATGCAATCCACCAAGTCGTAAAAACTCTCGGCATTTAGGTGTGACATAAAGTAACGATAATGACAGAGTAAGATAAATGCCACTGTGACGACCCAAAACACTCTACAAATTATAACGCACAATCCGCCTGGCCAGATGCCGAACACGGGCAGCGTAATCTCGACCGCACGACTGAGCGTGCTCTTACGAGTCATGATCTTGCTCTTAGGAGTCATGAGTTTTGCGTACAAGTGTGCGAATTACAAAACTTTTCATATAATGAACACTCTCGGGAATGAGTAAGAGCGATACGCGATATCACCGGATATATTTCTCAAAAGGGCGATGTATACCGCAGCGTAGCCACGCAATGACTGGGAGAAGCGTATCATTGAGATTATTGAACAGCGCGTGCACCCTCGGACGATCGACCAATCGTGGCCTCTCATTAAATATTTTTGTTGCGATGAGCGCAAACATCGAATATACTTTCACCGTTTGTATTTTCTTGCGACTTTACAAGAAAAAAGGGAATACGTAAAATCTTGACTTCTCAAGACACCCTGATGTAACATGTCCGCACGTGCACGGCTGCATTGCGTACTTTAAATATGTAAAGACTCGTGATGTAAACGTAGACGTATCTCTGATGGTCAGCCGTACACTGTAATCTTCGCAATGAAAAAAAAAAGCGGAGCAGTCAGTGGCGGGAGGATATATCTCGCTGCGAACTAATAGCTGAAAATTTATTCGCTTTGCACTGAAATTTACGGAAAACTATTTGCTGTCTCTCTAGCGCGCTCCGAGGCAATATTATTGCGTTTCTTTGCCTTGGTCGAATGTTCTTTATGAAGAACGTGAAACTCGCGGGATGTATTGTATTTTATCCGTTTTTGTTGCAAAAAATATGCCGATTGCTACAAAATGTGCGGTTTGACAACTAGTGAACAAGTGATTCGGTGTCACTTCGGTTAATATAGTTTATTAAAAAAGAACCTGTCGGAGATGCCGATTAATTTGCTGTACAAGAGTAACGATGGTGCTTTACAATATTTGAATTATAATGTATCGTTACTTGTTCGTCACTGTTTCGATTATTCTCCCGTCGTTGAACCTCGTTGGTCATGTATTTCCCCGCAGAACAAGATATAAACGCTTCGACCTATTATTGTGTAAGACAAAAGAGACAGTATTATCTGCTCTGCCGCGTTAGGGCACTTTAGCGCTTTGCTGTACGCCAAGAAGTTGCATATGAAGTTGATCAGATCAGTCAAGCTTGACGGTGTATATATATATGCGCCACAAAATATAAATAGTGGTGATGACAGAACTGAGACGATCCATAACACTTTGCAGAATAAAATGCACAGCATGCTCAGCTCATTATCGGTCAATATATTTCAACGTGCATTTAAATGTGTACTCGTACGGGTTATAATATTCTTATTTCGCCCTCACGCACATTGGTTTTCTGTATACACATATGCGAATTGAATGCGTTTCTTTTTTTTCGATAATCACTCGATGGCGCAGTAAGTACGTAAGAACTGAGATATATTAGGAGATGCAGTCTTAAATCAATAAATTGAAACCACTTATTAAATATTTTTATCGTATTATACCGCAGATTCGCGGTATAAAAAGTTCTGGAGATTTTATGAAAAGAAGAGAAAGGATAGAGGTGGATTTGTTTGTTCCTTTCAACTTCGAGAGAGGAACTTCAGGAGCTTGTTTGCTTGAAATATGCAACGATACGTGCAAGAACGCGTGGACATCGCACGTCCGATCGCGGATCATTTTCGTCGAAATCTGTGGCAACTTTTCGAGATATAAAGTATATTACATGCAGTAGAAGAAATAACAAAGAACTATGCTGCTATTGTGAAATGTGCCTAGGGAAGATCCGCGAATTTCCTTTTTTTGTATTTCATGGAAAATCGAGATGCAATATCATGCTCGCTTTATTTCTCAAGTTAACGTTCCAGACAGTTCTGCGGCAGATTACAACAATGTTCTGGAAATTATTACGTGAATCGCTTTTGTTTCACAAAATATATTTGAGCAAAGATAAAAACTATCACAGTGTGTTTGTGTGTATGTGTGTATTTATAACTAGTGAAAATATATTTATATATCTGCTTGCGCGTGATACATGTTTCACGACTACCGCTCGAGAATTGCCGGGACGAATATGTTCATTGTGCCGTTAACAGCACTGACAGGTACAATCCCGATGCACTTATGATGTATAGGAACGAGTTAACATCTTCTTCTTGCAATATCCCCTCATTCACCGTTGATTTATCCATAACATGATAAATTTTTATAATCATTCTCACGTGTGCCAAGAAGCACAAGCAATCTACCAGATCGTAAAATCTCTCAGGTGTGATATAAAGTAAAAATATATATTAACGATAAAGTAACGATAATGGCAGAAAATAAGGAATGTAACGATCTAAAACACTCTGGAAATTATAACGCATGATATGCGTGTCTAGATGCCAAACACGGGAAATGTGATTGCGCGGCTGCATGTTCTTACGAGTCATGATTTTGTTTTTTGGAGTCATGAGTCTTGCGTAAAAGTGTGCAGATTAGAAAACTTTTAATGAAATGAGCACTCTCAGGAATAAGTAAGAGTGATTCGCGAATATATTTCTCGACAACCGGGCGATGTTATATCGCCGGATATTCACTCAATGATTGAGGAAGTAACGAGTTATTAGTTGTATTAATATTAGTTATATTAATTACTAGTTGTAAAACAGCACACTAGTTAATAAACAGCGTATTTAAATTAAAGTACGATAGAAAATATGATACAATAATCCGAGAAAAGTTCTTCCTGAAACACATCGAGACGCATCCTATTCTCCCATGAACAACACAAAGAATCAACTGAATATTGCCTCGTAGCGCATTACAGACCGCAAAAGATATAGAATCGTCAATCGTCAAATGACTAATCGTCCAAGAGTGCACGCGACGTATATGTGAGAGGTCATCAAGCAGTGCGTGCACCCTTGGATGATCGGCCAATTGATAATTCTATATCTTTGCGGTCTGTAACGCATTACTAGGCAATATTCATATGATTCTCCGTGTTGTTCATGGGAGAGTAGGATGCGTCTTAATGTGTTTCAAAAAGAACTTTTCTCGGACGATTGTGTCGTATTTTATATGTATTTCGTAAAAATATGCTGTTTACTAACTAATGTGCTGTTTTATAACTAGTGATTTACTAGTAACTCGGTGTTCCGTTACTATAGTTCTATAGTTACTATAGTTACTATAGTCAAAAGAATCGACCAGCTTAGTGTCACCTTTTATTGCATCGCCAGCAGCACAGACAGGTACGATCCAGAAGCCTTCATGATCTAAAAGAAACATTATCTCTTAAATTAATGGTAAGAACGTTCCTGTAATTTGCAATAATATCATGGAAAAATGGGCCACTCGCGGTGAAAATTTTATAAGCGTAGAAATTAGATGTAAATGAATAAGATCTGTGAAAACGAGTAGTTATTGCATAAAGTTTCGTTCAGGAAATCTGTAAAATCGGTTTTAGAAGCGTTAAGTGCGTGCAAAGTTACACGTTACGAGTTGTGCATATAACTCTTACATTTGTGAAAGATTCTAAGGAGAGATCCATCATCTTCCCAACTGTGAGCGTCAGTTGCTTCTGCGATCGCAACATAACAAACAACAGAACACGGCCGTCTTTGGGGTGTAAATTGTACCAAGCAGTATTGTACGCCTCTATGCCGACCAATTTACTCTACGGAAATGGAAATGATAATGTAGCTTACTGACGTTTAAAACATCGATTACTGTTGTTTGTTCGTCATTGTTATTATTATTTTCCCACCGCTAACCTTATTGCTCAAGTATTCCCCGGCGAAACAAAAGAGAAACGCTTCGAGATTTGTTATAGTGTAGAACAAAATAGACCGTAATATCTGCTCTGCTGCGTTGGGGCTGCCAATCGCCTGCAATTAGGCACAAAAACGACATGCAGAGTCATTTGAGGCATTTGAGAAATACGTGCAAGTTTTTACATCAGACGTGACTTGTGTGATAAAAGGCAACTGAACGACGAGTAGAAAGAGAAATAAAGTACAATAAAATTCACGTATTTAAAAATATTTAAAAATTTAATGGTCACACTATGCATATATATGTGTACGGAAATCACAGCGATTTTATACTTACTTTTGCTTACATATCTGTCTTCTATCCGTAATATTTAACGATCTCACCATTACGATATAAAAACCCGAACAACAAATCATTCTTATATTTGACTCAAATTGCATAAATACTTGATTGTTCTGTACTCACGGTTATGATCGTAAATCCCAGCAAGCACATTAATATGAGATTCGATGCGAATAGGCACAACGTCATGTACTTGTACAGAATTTCAATGTTTTCCGAAAAGTAGATGATCCTCTGATGTTTTTGAATGATTTTTCTCGCAGACCTAGCAATCGACTCTCGTTCGCTCCCGAGACTCTCAGACGCGAACTCCGACACCCAGTATACCAGAATGTCTATTTGGCCGGTAATGTGTAGGACCTAAGGATATATAAAAATATTCGATTTTAGCTGAATATTTTATTCGTATATGACCTCTTCTTCTACTCTGTCACATTTCATAATTTTATATAATGTAACATTATTTGATAAAAGAATTATAATTTTGACTATCATAGTAATTACACAATACATAACAAAAACACGAAATAGATGACTGAGATACTTGATTTTTAATCTCCTATTTACAATCATATTTTTTGAGACATGTATTAAAATCTAGTTCTTTCAGACGCGGCCAGAGAGATTTATTGTGAATATCGCAAAACAATATAGATACTTTATGTTCGCTTCAATTCGCCCTACGTTCTTATGAACGTTGCGGAGTCACCCTGTATATCCCTAACTATGTGTATGTATTCACGTGCACATACATATATATATATATATATATATATATATATATATATATATATATATAGATATTGACATATAGATATAGGCAGCGCTACATACACAAACGAAAATTGCATTTATTTATATACTATTATATATTGCTGTTAATCGTCACGGTTGCACTGTTTCACAATCAACATAGCGGTTGAAATTTAAATTGTTTATTACGCAGTCGCTACTTACCATGGTTAGCAGTATAGCGTTCGCGAGACCACCTCCCCAGTTAATTATTATCATGTGCACGTACTCCGCGATTAGCACAAATCTGTACATTAATTGCGTGTTAATCGGGAAGGGGAAATCTAATTTGTTGATGTAAGGCACCTCGATCGTTTCATCGGTGACATCCACATCGGCGATTAACAATCCTGTGCAATACAGGACGATTGCTACGGTGTGAAGGGTAACTATCGCGTTAGTGATGGAGTCAGACGTTTTCGCTTTGCGCATCATCACACGCATGCTGGTGACGGTATTATTCGCGCGGTCGCTCCAATCATCCGCCATCATCGTCAAAGTTTCTACCAGTTTTCTGTGGATGATTGCGTTTCCTCGATTATGCTTGCCCCCACGTTCAAGGGGAAATCCTACTCCTCGCGTTGCAAGGCGTCGTATCTCTAGATTTACGTCACGGAAGGGTTTGGACATTATTGATTTCTTTTTTATTTGAAGAATTTGTTTCTTATTGCGCGGCTATTTTCTAGAGACAGCTGTGGGAAAATATCGAGAAAGTATATCATGTGAGAAAGTAATTGCGACGGTGGACAGCAACCTATGTAACGAGTGTGACGATTGTAACGATTGCTTTGAATTATTTTTGTAAACAAAAGCAATACAAAAACGTTGTAGTGACTTTTAGTTCCCGGCCGAAAATTTTCTTACCTACCGTCTTTGTGATATATTAATTTAGACTAGTACAAAAGATTCTACTATAAGTGATTTATCTGATTTCCCAGTTGCTGCTGCGACTTTCGTAAATTGCTTTTCAAATTTATGAATTTTTCCGACAGCAACTCGGAAGTTAGATCAAGTTAGATCATGTTAGATCCAGCATTTCCCCAAACCGCGGAAGCTTAGAATAGCAACTCTACTACAAACTGGAAACAATAGCTATGGCGAGATCATTATATTCAGAATCAGAAACGAAATCATAGCAGATGTATTACTGCACAGAGACCAATAAACAATTTCAATGCGCACGTAGTATGTTTGCATTCTGTTATAATATATTACACAGTTTCTCGCAATTCTCAATAATCAGTCGTAACAATATTGCGTTCATTTTAAATATCTTCGAAAATGATTGTCTCACATCACAACACTAAAATTATCGCAATCTTCTCCTCGCAATATCTTTTCACGCACCCCTGATTTATCCAGAACATGATGAACTTCATGATCGATTTCACATATGCTAAGAAGCTACTCATGCAATCCACCAAGTCGTAAAAACTCTCGGCATTTAGGTGTGACATAAAGTAACGATAATGACAGAGTAAAATGAATGCCACTGTGACGACCCAAAACACTCTACAAATTATAACGCACAATCCGCCTGGCCAGATGCCGAACACGGGCAGCGTAATCTCGACCGCGCGACTGAGCGTGCTCTTACGAGTCATGATCTTGCTCTTAGGAGTCATGAGTTTTGCGTACAAGTGTGCGAATTAGAAAACTTTTCATATAATGAACACTCTCGGGAATGAGTAAGAGCGATGCGCGATATCATCGGATATATTTCTCGACAAAAGGGCGATGTATACCGCAGCGTAGCCACGCAATGACTGGGAGAAGCGTATCATTGAGATTATTGAACAGCGCGTGCACCCTCGGACGATCGACCAATCGTGGCCTCTCATTAAATATTTTTGTTGCGATGAGCGCAAACATCGAATATACTTCCACCGTTTGTATTTTCTTGCGACTTTGTAAGAAAAAAGGGAATACGTAAAATCTTGACTTCTCAAGACACCTTGATGTAATATGCCCGCACGTGCACGGCTGTATTGCATACTTTAAATATGTAAAGACTCGTGCGTAAACGTAGACGTATCTCTAGTGGTCAGTCGCACACTGTAATCTTCGCAAATAAAAAAAAGCGGAGCAGTCAGTGGCGGGAGGATATATCTCGCTGCGAACTAATAGCTGAAAATTTATTCGCTTTGCACTGAAATTTACGGAAAACTGTTTATTTTGCTGTCTCTCTAGCGCGCTCCGAGGCAATATCATTGCGTTTCTTCGCCTTGGCCGAATATTCCTTATAAAAAACGCGAAACTCGCACGGTGTATTGTATTTTATCCGTATTTTTTGAAAAAAATATGCCAATTGCTACAAAATGTGTGATTTCATAACTAGTGAACAAGTGATTCGGTGTTACTTCGGTTAATATAGTTTATTAAAAAAGAATCTGTCGGAGATGCCGATTAATTTGCTGTACAAGGGTAACGATGCTTTACAACATTTGAATTATAATGTATCGTTACTTGTTCGTCATTGTTTCGATTATTCTCCCGTCGTTGAACCTCGTTGCTCGTGTATTTCCCTGCGGAACAAGATATAAACGCTTCGACCTATTATTGTGTAAGACAAAAGAGACAGTATTATCTGCTCTGCCGCGTTAGGGCACTTTAGCGCTTTGCTGTACGCCAAGAAATTGCATATGTAGTTGATCAGATCAGTAAGTTTGGCGGTTTATATATATGCGCCAGAAAATAGTGGTGATGACAGAACTGAGACGATCCAAAACATTTCGCAGAATAAAATGCACAGCATGCTCAGCTCATTATCGGTCAATATATTTCAACATGAATTTAAGTGTGTACTCGTACGGGCCATAATATTCTTATTTCGCCCTCACGCACATGGGTTTTCTATATACATATATGCGAATTGAATGGGCTTCTTTTTTTTCGATAATCATTCGATGTGCATGGCGCAGTAAATACCTAAGGATCGGAATGTATTAGGAAAATGCAGCCTTAACAATAAATTGGAATCATTTATGAGATATTTTTATCGTATTATACCACAGATTCGCCGTATAGAATGTTCTGTAGATTTTATGAAAAGAAGAGAAAGGATAAGAGGAAAGTGGATTTATTTGTTGCTTTCAACTTGGACAGAGAAATTTCATGAGCTTGTTTGCTTGAAATATGCAACGATACGTGCAAGAACGCGTGGACATCGCACGTCCGATCGCGGATCATTTTCGTCGAAATCTGTGGCGACTTTTTGAGATATAGAGAGTATAACATGCAGGAGAAGAAATAACAAAGAAGTGTGCTGCTATTGTCAAACTACGTGCCTCTTTCTACGTGTGCGCGACTCTCACTCCACATAAACGAGAGAAGATCCGCGAATTTTTTTTCTTTGTATTTCGACTCGTGGAAAATCTAAATGCGATATCATGCTCGCTTTATTTCTCAAGTTAACGTTCCAATCAGTTTTATGCAGTTTGCGACATTGTCCTGGAAATTATTCCGTGAATCAGATTTATTTCTCCGAATGTATTTGAGCAAAAATAAACGCTATTACAGTGTATGTCTCAATAACTAGTGAGGATATATTTACATATCCGCCTGTGTTCGATACATGCTTCACTACCACTCGAGAGTCGTCGGGACGAATGCAACGTTCATTGCGCCGCCAACAGCACTGACAAGTATGATCCTGATGCGTTCATGATCTAGAAGAATGAGCCAATATTTGCGAGTACAAATTGAATTGCTCCGGGAATAAACCAAGAGCGGAATTCTATGGCGCGATATATGTCACGAGGAATTGCTAATTGCGACTGTGTTACGTGTCGTTATTAAAAAATTGTTTTAATTTTGTTATCTTTTACGTGAATCTTACACTTGCAAAGGTTTGTAAGGTGAGATCCATCATTTTGCCAGCTGTGAGCGTTAATTCCTTCTGCGATCTTAATATTATGAACAATAGAATGCGGCTCTCCTTAGGGTTCAGATTATACCACGCGCAATTGTACGCTGCTAATCCAATTGCTTTGCTCTGCAAGGGTGAAACGACAGTGTTTTGAATGTTACAGTGCAATTTGCATATTACTGTTCTTCCAATACAGCAGAAATGTTATCTATCGTTATCACTGCAATAATTGTCTGCCGTCACCTGACCTTGTTGTTTAGATATTCCCCGGCGAAGCAAAATATGAACGCCTCAAGATTCGTCGACATGTAAAATAGGATAGATTTCACGATTTGTTCGGTGGCGTCGGGTGTTCCAATTGCCTAAAAGAATATTTCTCGGTGCAATCGATTTGACGGGACAAAATATTAGCTGTCGCCCGCAATGTTTGACTATTTTGTACTCACAGTCACGATGAGAAATCCGAGTGAACAGATCATTATTATGTTCGATGCGAATAGACATAATGCGATGTGCGTGTATAGAATCTCGATGTTTTCCGAGAAGTAGAGGATCCTCTGATGTTTTTGAATAATTTTCTTCGTGATCTTGCTGATCTATTTTTGCTCACTATTGAGATCCTGAGACGCGAGCTCCGACAGCCAGTGTCGTAGAATATCCATTTGGCCACCGACGTGTAAGACCTGAGAGAAAGAGAGAGAGCGCAAATCCGATTTCAGCTGAATATTTTTACACGGGATCTTCCTCGCAGCCGCGTATGAAAATGATAAAAATGTACGCGGGCGGTTTATATCCGTGCAGTAAAAGTGGCATTTTCATATTCCGCGAATGTAATTTGCAAAAATTGTATTTGCAAAGCGTGCATTTTACAGTTAATTCGACGAATATGCCGCGTTCAATTTTTCGGGATTGATGTACTCGGAAAAAGTTCCGCTTTACAGTCCTACATATATGTTCTCTTTCTCTCTGTTCCTTTGCGTTCCATAATTTTATATCACGTTTTAACATTATTTGATAAAAGATTATAATTTTGACCACTATTGTATTTATGCAAAATATAGTAAGATATAAAAATACATGACTGAAGAAACTTGATTTTTTTGTGGGGAAAGAACAAGTAGAACAAGTTAAGGTAAACATAAAAGTCCTATACCGTTTTGCGATATTCGCAATAATTATCGAGATATTAATTATAGAAAACTTGTAAATGATCATGAAGAATATGGGAAATGAGTTATAGTAGCGACGACTGCCGTCTAAATAAAAAATCCTCTACCATTTTCCAAATAATCACATAGATTTTTAATTATTAATTAAAGAAGATTATTGCACGATTTTACGTGATAATGCACTCATCTTCTTTAATTAATAATTAAAAATCTTTGCGATTATTTGTAAAATGGTAGAAGATTTTTTTGTTCAATTTGACCTAAAGTATAAATACACGACGGCAGTCGTCGCTATTACAACTCGTTTACCATATCCTGCATGATCATTCACAAATTTTCTATAATTAATATCTCGATAATTATTGTGAATATCGCAAAACGGTATAGGACTTTTATGTTCATCTCAACCTATTCTACGTCTCCACGAAATGCCCGGAAGAGAGTGTGAGACACCCTGTATATATACATACAATTATATACATCGCAAACTGCAGATTTATTTATACTCTATATATTATTATCGATCATTAGTTGAGATTTCGCACAATCAACCGCAATTAATGTGGCGGCCAAAGTGTAAATGGTTTAACATTTGATTACTACTTACCATGGTCATAAGTATAGCGTTCGCCAGACCAAGTCCCCAGTTAACTATTATCATGTGCACGTACTCCGTGATTAGCACGAATCTGTACATCGGTTGCGTATTAACCGAGAAGGGGAAATCTAATTTGTTGATGTAAGGCGCTTCGATCGTTTCATCGGTGACATCCACATCGGCGATTAACAATCCTGTGCAATACAGGACGATTGCTACGGTGTGAAGGGTAACTATCGCGTTAGTGATGGAGTCAGACGTTTTCGCTTTGCGCATCATTACACGCATGCTGGTGACGGTATTATTCGCGCGATCGCTCCAGTCATCCGCCATCAGCGTCAAAGTTTCCACCAGTTTTCTGTGGATGATTGCGTCTCTTCGATTATGCTTGCCCGCAAGGGGAAATCCTACTCCTCGCGTTGCAAGGCGTCGTATCTCTAGATATACGTCACCTGGCACGGAAGGGTTTTGACGTTATTTCTTTTTTATTTGAAACCAGATTTTGCGAGGCTATTGCGCGACTATTTTCTAGAGACTGCTGCGGCGAAGTATCGAATACACGTAAGAAAGTAATTGCGATGGTAGACAGCAGGCTACGTAATTACCGAGCACGATCGATCTTGGCGTTCGCTCTCGTTAAATACGGTCCAATCAATCGCATCCATAGAAGTGACCTACAGACAACGACTATACTTTTTTACTTCGTACAATCGAACATACATCCTGCAATTTTTTACAATATCGACAGTACAGAAAATTGGGTCTACATGATCCAAAAGATATGTTGCTCATGTGTTTTTCTTAATATTTAACTTGAGAAGAATCAGTGGATACAGGATCGTGAAATGATCCTTGTAGGATAAATGCTTTCTTTCCCGAGTTTTATTAAAATCGGAATAATATTAAAAAATAGAAAAAATTAGTAGTGGCAAAGTGAATTTTCGAGTTTATCGAAATTTTGTATTAATATTTTCTATCGCGCGCGCTCAAGTGAATAAAGTTAAGCGACGTATTATTAACTAAAATGAAGTTTCTTGAAAGTGTATGTTTTTTTTTTAGGTAATAAAAGCAATTTTTATTTATAAAATAATTGAAATCGAGTGGACGAGGTGTAAAGTTGGTAAGTTGGTCTATAAACTAAAAATAAGAAATACGACGAAAATCATTATATTCGGAACTACGTACGAAATCACAGTAGATGTATTATTGTACTGCAACCCGTAAACAGTTGCAATGCGCACGTTGCATATTCGCGTTCTATTATATTATATTACACAATTTTCCGCGTCAGTTTGCAACAATCAGCTGCAACAATATCCAGCGTTCATCACTGCGTTCGAATCGTTTCAAATGTCTCGGAAATTCATTGTTACATCACGATAGTAACCTCCTCTTCGAAATGTCACTTTACTTACCGTTGATTTATCCAGAACATGGTAAACTTGATCATCACTTTCACGTGTGCCAAAAAACTACACAGACAATCCACTAAGTCATAAAAGCTCTCGGCATTCAAGTGTGACATAAAGTAACGATAATGGCAGAGCATAATGAATGCCACTGTAACGGTCCAAAACACTCTGGAAATTATAACGCACGATCTACCCGGCCAGAAGCCGAACACGGGCAGCGTGACCTCGACCACGCGACTAAGCGTACTCTTACGAGTTATGATCTTGCTCTTAGAAGTCATGAGTTTTACGTGAACAGTGAGCGAATTGCAAAACTTTTCCTAAAATGAGCACTCTCGGGAATGAGTAAGAGAGATGCGCGATATTACCAGATATATTTCTCAGCAAAAGTGTGGTGTATATCGTAGCGTAGCCACGCAATGATTGGAAGAAGCGTATCATTGAGATTATTGAACAGCGCGTGTATCCTCAGACAATCGACCAATCGCGGCCTCTCATTAAATATTTTTGTTGCGATTAGCGCAAACATCGAATGTACTTTCGCCGTTCGAATTTCCTTGTAATTTTGCAAGAAAAAAGGGAATATGTAAAATATCGTCTTTTCGCGTCTCGAGGCGCCCTGATGTAATATGCCCGCTCGTGTTCTCGTGAATTACATGCTTTAAATATGCAAAGACGCGCGCGCAGACGCGATGACGACATATCTCTGATGATCGGCCGCGCACCGCGATTTTCACAGGGGAAAAAACGGAGTGGCGCGAGGATATATTCCGCTGCAGACAGAACATTTATTTGCTTTATACTGAAGTTTACGGAGAATTGATGATTTTGCTGTCTTTAACGCGCGCTCCGAGCCAGTATTCTTCCGTTTCTCGCATTGGTCGTGGAAGAGCAAGATGGATTTTAGTGTTTCAAGGAAGAACTATTCTCACGATTGTGATATATTTTGTCTGTATTTCTGGAAAAAATACCGTTCACTATATAAGGTACCATTTTATATTTTAGTACTCTACTTTAGATTAACAAGTAACCAGGAACTGTTTTTCGCTACTATAGTTTATTGATAAATTCGAACTGCTTGTGGATTTTTGTTTGCATCGCCAACAACGTGGCCAAGTACGACCCGAAAACACATTTATAGTTAAAAAAAATATTGCCTCTTAAATTAGTGGCAAGGAAATTCTTACAATTCGTAGTAATATCATAAGAAAAGTGTGGTTTCTCCCGGTAAAACATTTTTAGCACGTGTTAGTTAGATGTGAATAAGTAAGATCTGTGGGATTAAGTAGTTATTGCTCAGAGCTTTGTCCAGGAAGTATGTAGAATCGGCACGGTGTTTAAGCGCGTAAAGCATCGTCTACAATACGTGAAGTAAGCTTAGTATATGAAAAGTAAAAGCAGGAATAAGAAAGCTAATTTATTTCACTTATATATACATCTAAATTTTAGCTCCCTTACACCGGAAGTTTTTATTTGACAGAAAAACTCCCGGCGTAAAGGAGTTGAAGTATAGGTGTAATAAGCGAAATAAATTACTTTTATTTCTTATTCTTACACTGAGAGAAATGGCTGAGGTGAATGACACTATACTCGTTTTATAAAAGTAATATGATGAATTTATATGCGATATCTGGTTCACATATTCAATATTCTAATTACGATGCTTCGACGCATCTGGTAGTCAATACTGAGACATTTAGTTGTAGACATTTAGACAGTTTGGTAATTTTCTCTAGACGTGTGATACTATTGACGCGATAGTTAATTGTTACTCACTGCGACTTTTTCATCTATACTAATTTGTAAAGATGTCGGTGCTATAAAAGAGTAAACGCTGAAACCATCAAATATTTGGAGGAATGAAATTTCTTAAAATATGTCGACGAATTTAAAAAAAAATATATGAAGATTATATAGAGTAAGTATATAAAAATTATATATATATATATATATATATATATATATATATATATATATAATATGGTTAGATTTTAGGTTAGATAAGAAGTCTAACACTACTCCAAAACTTTATTCATAACATTCACCAAATGAATTTTATGTTGTACCAGACGGTTTGGTAAACATTACTGTAATGCTACTTAAACAATGCGCTTACCAGATAGTTTGGTATCATTGACTAAATATCTTGTTACACGATTATTCACCATAAACGTTTGGTAAACCTAAATAGAATTCTGGTTAGTATCATCAGACATTTCCCTCAGTGTACTCTTCTTACTTCAAGCTTACTTCGTACATTGTAGACGAAGCCTGAAGGATCGTCTACAGTGGGAGTAAGGTACGGCTGTGAGAAGTAAGAGTAAGAAATTGACCAATCACGGTCAAGTGTGAGAAGAACAATCAATACAATTATGATTGGTTAATTTCTTACTTTTACTTCTTATAGCTATTCTCTTATAGTCATTGTAGATGGGCCTTAAAGCTACACCACAATTTGCTCTGCCGCGTTGGGGCTACCGTACTTTGCCAGGAAGTTGTACATGATCAAATCGATAAGCTTGACGGTGTATATATATTCTAGAAGCGGTGTATATATATTCTAGAAGCGATAATGATAGAACTCGACAAATCCTAATGAGACGACCCAAAATACCTGGCAGACTAGAACGCGCAACATGCTCGACCAATTCTCGGACAAAATAAACGTATGGTTAAAAAAAATTAAGCGTACTCGTACGGTATATTCTTATTTCACCCCCGAGGGTTACCCGAGAGTGCACACATATGAGTTGAATATATCCTCTTGTTCTTTTTTTCGATGATCACCTGACGTATAGCGCAAGACAAACACGTAAAAGCGTATTATGAGACCATGAAATATGTGCTCCCTTGAGCGATCTACAGCTGGCAGTCGCTTATTAAATATTTTTATCGTACTGCATGCAGGGACCGTGGATTCATCGTACATAGTTCTGGCAATTTTAATGAAAAGCAGAAAGAATAGGGGGTTTCGTCTCTTTCTTCGACTGGCAAGAGAGGACTGACGCAGTTGCGAATTTTTTGCTTAAAATATGCAACGGTATACACAAGAACGCGCGGACATCGTACGTCCGATCATGAGTCAGTTCGCTAATCTTTGGCGACGTTTTGAAATATAGAGACTATAACATGCGGAGGAGAGGGGAAAAAAAATAAGGGAAAAGTGAGCCGCGCGCAATTGCGAAACTACATAAAATTACTCCCTCTGTGTTTCTACTCTTGTTCCGCTTGAACTATACAGGAGGGAAGATCCGCGACTTTTCTTTCTTGTTTTCTTTGTTTTGCGACCTATGGAAAATTGAGATGCGATTTCGTGTTCATCTTACTTCTCGAGCTAACAATGCGGGCAATTTCGTGGCAATTTGCAATGTTGTTTTGGAAATTATTCCGTGAATTATCTTTGCTTCGCAGGATTTATTTAAGTAAGAATAAGTCCCGTTACAAAATATATGCATTGCATAACTAGTGAAGATATATTTATGGGTACATCCGATACATGCTTCAAAACTAGCGCTCGAGAGTCATCAGAGCGAACGCGATGTTCACTGCATCGCCAACAACACTGACAGGTAGGATCCCGATGCGCTCATGATCTATAAAAACGAGTCAATATGTTGCGAGCAGATTTCAGTGATTGACAGGGATTTTAGCGCGCGACACACGTCACGGGAAGCCATTGATCGCGATATGCGTTATGCGGAGCCATTAAAAGAATTGCTTTATATTTGTTGTATTGTTCAACGTAAATCTTACATTTGCGAAGGATTCTAAGGTGAGATCCATCATCTTGCCAGCCGTGAGCGTTAACTGCTTCTGCGATCTTAATATTATGAACAATAAAATGCGGCTGTCCTTGGACTTCAAATTGTACCACGTGCAATCGTACGCTGCGTATCCGATTGCTTTGCTCTGCAAAGGTGGAAACATTGGACATGCTTTTAATGTTTCACGATGCAATTCGCATATTGTTCTTTTTCCAATAAAACAAAAATATTGTCTATCGCCGTGACAATTGTCTACCGCTATTGACCTTATTGTTCAGATATTCCCCGGCGAAGCAGAACACGAACGCCTCGAGATTCGTTATAGTGTAAAACAGGATAGATTTCACGATCTGTTCCGTGGCGTCGGGTGAACCAATCGCCTGAAAGAATCAGGCGATCAGGCGTCCGAAAACGTCTCGGAGGAATCGATTCGACGGGACAAAATGTTAACGGTTGTCTATTTTGCACTCACGGTTACGATGAGAAATCCGAGTGAGCAGATCATTATGGTGTTTGAGGCGAATAAGAACAACGCGGTGTACGTGTATAGACTGTCGATGTTTTCCGAAAAGTAGATGATCCTCTGATGCTTCTGAATGATTTCTCTCACAGTTCTCGAAATCGATTCTTGCTCGCTCCTGAAATCCTCAGACGAGAGCTCCGACAGCGAGCGCTGCAGAATCTCCATTTGGCCGCCGACGTGTAGTACCTGAGAGTGTGGAAATCCGATTTCAGTAAAATATTATTACACGAGATCTTCTCAGACGCGTATAAAAATGATCTATGCATGGCCGGATTATATCCAGACGGTATAAAGTGGCTTTGCCGTATTCTGTGAATACAATTGTATTCGTATAAACTGTATTCATAAGACGTGCATTTAGCAATTAATTCGACGGATGTGATTCACCGGATGCCGCTTACACTTTCTCGGGATTAATGTTTTTGAAAATACTTTTCTACTTTTACAATGATATTCTATGTACATATTCTCTGTTTTATCATGTTTTATGAGTTTATGATAATATGTTTTAACATTATTTAATAAAAGGATTTTAGTCATTGTAATTGTTATTCATTTTTAATTTTGCAGTAGATATAATAATGTATAAAGCTTTATCTCTCTCAACGCGTTAATGACAGTGTTGGAGCTCAAATTGATTTATTATTATTAATTTATGTTAAAAGTGTAATTAATTGGATTTGAGACATTGGTTGTATACACACATATACATATACGCACATACACACGGACAAAAAAGAGATAGTACACATGTTCAGATATATTTTATTGTGAATAGCGTCGCTTAAATTGTTTTTGTATGATGATAATGTGTGTAGTTGATATGACTCAGTTACTTTAGCACATCAATTATATTAATATAGTTGCGTATGATCTGGTTGTGGCAATCAGAAATCATAACGTTTTTTCAATGTATAGAAAAAAGCGGTGGAAAAAAAATATATATACATACAGATATAACTGTCACGAATTATACATTTATTTATATATTACATATTACACTAAGAAAAAATGTTTAATATTTGTAACTATAATTACATAAAGAAATAGTTCTTAAAACAAATTAAACTGCCAATAAGACAATTTTTTTATTGAATTCTACTAAAATGTTAGTGATCTTTATGTTACTATTACCAGTTTCGTTTTAGAACAATTAAGAAATACGGTTGAGACCAAAAATAACTATAATTTTAGATAGATCAATTATTTTACTTTCTCAGTATATTATCAACGTCATTTAACACCACCAACAGTTCGCGTTGACGATCAACGTGTCAATTGTTTATTACTCGACTGGTACTCACCATAGTCATAAGTATAATGTTCGAGAGACCAGCTCCCCAGTTGCTTAGTATCATATGTACGTATTCTGCGATCAGCACGAATCTATACATCGGCTGTGTGTTAATTGTGAAGGGGAAGTCTAACTTGTTGATGTAAGGCACTTCGATCGTTTGATCGGTGATGTCTACTTCAGCGATGATCATCCCAGTGCAATACGTGACGACTGACATGGTGTGAAGGATAATTAACGTGTTAGTGATGCGATCGGATATTTTCGCCTTGTATGCCATCACGCGCATACCGCCTTCGTTGTTGTTCGCGCGGTCACTCCAGTCGTCCGTCATCAGCGCCATCGTTTCTATCAGTTTCCTGTGGATGATTGCGTTTCTTCGATCATGCCTGCTCACGGATAAGTCCTGATCCTCGCGTCGTGAGAAAAAATGTTTGGTATTTGTAATTATAATTACATCCAAAAGTTATTACTATAAAATGGTCAAAAAATTGCTTTTTCACAAAATTCTATTATAATATTAGTGATAATATTATAATATTAGTAATATTAGCATATAGTCTTATATGCATGTTATCGTTATCGTGTTACAATCAAAAAGGTATGGTTGGAGCCAAAAATAATTATAACTTCAGTTAGAATAACCATTTTTTTTCTCTCAGCGCAGGGCATCATAGATATATGTCGCCTCCAGTTGGTATGAAACGATTTTGATCTCATTCGTTTCTTTTCTTTAAAACAAGATTCTACATTTCTTATTATTGCTCAGGTTTATTTTAAGATACTTCTCGCGACGAAGTATCGAGTTCGTAAGAAGGTAATTGCAATATTGGCCAGCAAGCTACGTAACTACCGAGCGCGATCGATCTTGGCGTCTCCGCTCTCGTTAATTTACGGTCCAATGAATCGCATCGATAGAAATAGACTGCAGGACAGCGACAATATTTTTCTACTTCGTGCAATTAAGCATACACCCTGCAATTAACTACAATATCAGCACGATAACTTTGGCGACACAGCTCAATAATTACTCTTAATTATTTTCGTAGAGCGGAGAAATGCAAGAACATTGGAGTGACTTTTAGTTTCCGGCTTTTGATTAAAGAACTTTCTTCATCCATCTGACATTTCAGACAATATTATTGAAGGTTTGTCTTACTAATTAAGGAGTCTATTATATATGCACGGCCATGCTTTTGAGTTGTTGCAGAAATCTTCGTGAATTTGTTTCCAAATTCATGAATTTTTCCTGCAGTACTTCGAGAACTGGACCAAGTATTTTCCCATACTGCGCGGAAGTCTTAAAATCTATCAGATCTGCTGTAAACTAGAAACAATAGATATGGTCAAAGACCATTATATTCGGATTTACGTACGATATCATAGCAGGTGTTACCGTGCTGCAACCTGTAAACAATTGCAATGCGCACGTTCCATATTCATGTTCTATTATATCATATTGCATAAATTCTCACAACCCGCAACAATCAGCCAACAGATACAACAGTATGTATTTGTTCATTATTGCGTTCTAATAGTTAAAAATACCTTAGAATATTACTGTCACATCACGAAACCTTAAAGTTATCGCCATCTTCTTCTCACTCACCGCTGATTCACCCAAAATATGATCAGCTTAGCGATCACTTTGCCGTGCGCCAGGAAACTACACAGGCAATCTATTAAGTCGAAAAAATTCTCAAAACTCATGTGTGAGATAAAATAACGATAATGGCAGAGTTCGACGAATGCCGACGTTGCGACCCAAAACGCCCTGAAGATTATAACGCACGATCTGCCCGGCCAGACGCCGAATATTGGCAGCAAGATCTCCACCACGCGACTGATCGTGCTCTTACGAGTCCTGATTGTGGTCTTACGAGTCATGAGTCTCGTATTACAGAACTTTTCGTGAAACGAGCACTCTCGGGAGTGCGTAAGAGCAATGTCCCTGGATGGATTTCCCAAGCAATGTATATGACAGGCTGTCTACGCGATGACTGGGGAAGCGAGAGGTCATCAAACAGCGCGTGCAGAACCTTAGGCGATTGCGACCAATTGCAACCTCTCATTAAATATTTTTACCGCGCGATCGCCGTTCGTATTTCCTTGCAGCTTTGCAAGAAAAAAGTGAATAAGTAAGACTGTGTCTTCCCATGTCTCGGGACGCGCTGATATAATATGCCCGCTCGTGCACCTGTGAATTGCGTACTCTAAATATGCAAAGAATCGCGCGCAGACGTAGATGCGACGACGACGCGCGTCCGATAGTCAGTGACTTGCTGCGACCTTCAGATAAGTTTCGAAATACAGAGAAGTGAAATCGCGAGAAATGTCATAGAAAAAGTGAAGGAGCGAGTAACGGCGGATTATGTATCGCTGCGGATGTAACAGCCAAAAGTTTATTCACGTTGTATTGAAATTTACGGAGATGTGCAGAGATTTGCTGTCTCCAACGTGTTCTGAGATAAGATTCATACTACTCTTTATGTCGTGGAGCAGGAGGTTCTTTGATATGTTTCAGGACAACGATTGTATCGTGTTTTGTCTGTATTTTTGAAAAAAATAGAGCGTTTATTACGCAATATGAAATTGTATAGTTAGTAGTTTACGAATAACTTGTTATTCCGCTACTATAGTTTTGTTAAGAAGATCGTCTAGCCAAAAGTTTGACCTTTTATTGCGTTGCAAACAGCACAGACGATCCAGAAGCATTTGTGATCTAAAAAAGTATTGTCTCTTAAATAGTTGCAAGAAAATTCCTATTATTTGTAACAATATTATAAAGAGAAGTGTGCTTATTGCAGTGAACATTTATATTTGTAGCAATTCTACGTGATAATTATATTATATGTGGTTATTGCTCGAAGTTTGGACTAGGAAGTATGTGGAATGGACACGAAACGTTATGCGCACGCAAAGTTACCCGTTACGAGCTGTACATACAAATGTTACATTGGCGAAGGATTGTAAGGAGAGATCCATCATCTTCCCAGCTGCGAGTGTCAGTTACCTTTGCGATTGCAATATAACAAACAACAGAACACAACCTGTGTTTGGATTCTAAATCGTACTAGGCGATGTTGTACGCCGCGATGCCGGGAAATTTGGTCTGCGAAGATGGAAATGATGATGCAGCTTTCTGACGTTTGAAACATCGTGTACCGTTACGTGTTCGTCATTGTTACAATTATTTTCTCGTAGCTAACCTTGCTCGAGTATTCCCCGGCAAAACGAAATATAAACGTCTCGAGATTTGTTACGGTGTAGAACAAAGCAGATCGTACTATTGGAGAACTACAAAGGAGGAGGATCCCTAAGGCCGGTTTTTGGCACCCTCTGAAATTGATCCAAAAATATTAGAAACGTTATATTTTTGTAAGATCTATTGAAATAAAGTGATTTTATTCAAAACGGACATATTTTGGTGCCTGCTTATACTATAATTCTAATTAATCCCATTTTTATCACCAACACTCTTATGTCACCTACATATCATCTCCTTACATTTGTGTGTGCGCGTGTGTATGTGCGCGCGCGCTCGATACTGCAAATATACTTACAAATGTAAGGAGATGATATGTAGGTGACATAAGAGTGTTGGTGGTAAAAATGGGATTAATTAGAATTATAGTATAAACAGGTAAAATATGTCCGTTTAGACTAATATCATTTTATTTCAATAGATCTTACAAAAATATAACGTTTCTGATATTTTTGGTTTAATTTCAGAGGATGCCAAAAACCGGTCTTAGGGACCCTCCTCCTTTCTAAATCAGATGTATGGCGCGTGAAAAGACGCAAAGGAAACACGTAGAAAGAGAAATAATAATAGAATAAGATTCGTACAGTTGTGGAAATATATTAGAATTTAATAAAGTCATACTGTACATAGACATGTACAGGGGATCACAACAGTTTAATATTTACATTCGCTTACATATTTATGCTCTGTGATTTTCAACGATTTTATCATTACGATAAGAAACGAACAAAACATTATATCATGTTCAAACTGCAGAAATGCGATTTGCTGGTAGAAGTTTCTTGGAAAATTGATAATATTCTGTTGCTTTTGTGTGATCTATTTCGATGTGAAGATGATTGATTCATATTTCGTTCTCATTTGCGCTAGGTATAAGTTATTTCAACCACTCAACACAGAATGTCCATTTAAATAGCGTCGTGTAACGTTTAAACTTGAAGATTTCGCTTATAAAATTGAGTAGATCTCCGTAATAAATTGTCCGGCAAAAATGTACACAGTGCAAGAAATTGTGCTATCAGAAATGCATAGAGACCGCAAAACACGGGCATTTCATTTGGATGCAGACGTCTGGTGTACACTGCACTTATCGTTGATTTAATCAAAACGCGATAAACTTAATTAGCACTATTGCCTGGAATTTGCTTTGCAGACCAGAACGCGAGACATGACCGATTAAATATCGAACAGAATAAACATAAATTTCAACATGCAACTGCACTGAAAAAAAAATATAAAAAAATTAGTAAGTATTTATTTAGTGATATTAATATATAGCACATATTTTTGCTTAAATCTAAATTCTTTTATTTAAATAGAATAAATAATAGCTTTCGTGAAAAACTAAAATCTTTCTTAAGATTTTAAGAAAATGTATATTTTTTATTTAAAAAATATTTTATATTAGTATAAGTAAATATGCTATATTATATACAGGGTTCGCCGACGAAAACTTTCCGTCCTGATTATTCTGAAATCAATTCATTTTTGTCAAAAATGTCGGTACACATATCAATACTGTTTTCAAGGGAGCTATATGATAGTGGTAAATTTATCACTTTATTTATTAGGGTAGCTACCCTTTAAAAAATCTTAAATAGCAATAGAGGTCAAATAATCGGGGTAGAAAGTTTTCTTTGATACACCCTATATATATATATATATATATATATATATATATATATATATATATA